ATCGCTGAAATGAAATGGTATTGGTCATGTTTTCCCTTTATTTTTCCTGGGGTAACCTTGACAACTATAAGTTCCCTGGACCGTGGGTTAACAATATCTTTGTATTAAATGCAATGGATTTCTGAGTAGCATATTTCCACCTCCTTTTTGTGCCCCTTTTTTTAGTTTTTTTGGAAGTTGAACATGTGCTGGTATCTTTAATGTTGTTGAAACTAATCCTTTAGTTTCTTGTCCTTCTGAAGAGACTTGTAATCAATTTTTTTTAGGTTTAGCTCTGTTGTGGTCGACTTGCAATGTTAAATAGGGGAATTTTAAATACACAATTTCTATAATTTTCCTGAACAGCAGACATATAGATAATGTGCAAATGCACTGTTTAAAGATAATTAGATAACAATAGTCCTGTGAACTCAATCTGAGGTGAGTATATAATGTGAAAGTGGAATTTTATTTTTGGGTTCACTTTATTTCAATTATTTAACTCAGTGTGGTTGGTATTTGTTACTTATGATTTGAGTCTACAGGTAAGTCATGGTTAAGCATAACAATGTCGTGCCCAGTGGGCACTTCAGGAAGCACTGGCAGAACTATGTGAAGACCTGGTTCAACCAACCTGCACGCAAAACCAGGAGAAGAATCGGTAAGCATTTTCCCATTTTACCTGGCCCCTTGTAAGTTATGCAAATAATCAGTGATTGCCTTCTACTCGTGTTTTCCTTTAATGTCCTGCAGCAGTCTACTGTTAAAAATGACCAACCTGTGAAATTATTTGTTTTTTTGAAACTTTTTCCAGCTAGACAAAAGAAGGCTGTGAAGATTTTCCCTCGACCGACAACTGGTCCACTTCGTCCTATTGTCCATGGGCAGACATTGAAGTATAATATGAAAGTCAGGGCTGGTAGGGGATTTTCTCTTGAAGAGCTTAAGGTGAGTTGTTTTATGTCATCGCCAGCTTAGTTAAGCATGTTTGTATGTTGCATCTGGTTTAAATTTGAAGCCTCTATTTGTACGTCAGAGGGAATAGGCAAGAAAGTTTAATGCTTTGGCCTGTACAAAATTGTATTATCTTGGTGCATTTATAAATATTTTTCTTTCTTTTGATTGCTGTTATTCCTTCCAAATATCCAAAAGAAAGCCTATTTTTGTAATCCCTTTTCATCATATGATATAAGGGGTCTGCTTTTGGGGCTATTGATACTGGCCTATATACTTGTTTTCTTTTAAATCCACATCTCATCTTTCTCCTAGTGTGTGTAGGACAGAACTAAAACGGGATGTTTAGTTTTGAGACCCAATTGCTGTAATTAATCACAATAGTGTTGGAGAGAGCACATTGTGCATGCATCTCAGATCTTTTTCTTTTTGTTTGTTTATTTAGTATAGATATCATCTCTTTCTACAATCTTGGAAAACACACTATTATGATGACTCCCCCAATTATGCTTGTTATCCCTGTAGAGGTATATTGATATTCTAATCACCTAGCTGCTCTGTGGGATGGTCTGACCACTGTTTGTGTTGATTCAACCAGGCAGCGGGGATTCCAAAGAAACTTGCCCCTACTATTGGCATCGCAGTTGATCATCGTCGCAGAAACCGCTCCCTAGAGGGTCTCCAGACTAATGTCCAGAGGTTGAAGACTTTCAAGGCCAAATTAGTTGTCTTCCCAAGACGTGCTCGAAAGTTCAAGGTATCATTGCCTGTTGCTTCACTTATACTGATAACTGTGGTTATTTGTTTGTGTCATATATGATATTTGCTTGACATTTCTTTGGCTGCAGGCTGGTGATTCTGCTCCCGAAGAATTGGCAACGGCCACACAAGTCCAAGGTCCTTACATGCCCATTGCACGCGAGAAGCCAAGTGTTGAGCTTGTTAAGGTCACAGATGAGATGAAGTCATTTAAGGCCTATGACAAGCTGCGCGTGGAGCGGGTGAACAAGCGCCATGTTGGTGTCAGGATGAAGAAGGCTGCAGAAGCTGAGAAGGAAGAGAAGAAATAGTGAGTTCTAGCTGATTGCTGATGCCTGCATTGTTTTTTTTTTTTTGCTCATTGGGTTCGTGTCTAATTACTGGGTTTTGTCTGAACGATTAGAAGTAGCATTTGTAATATCAGTGTTAAGCTGTATGAATTTTGGGATTTCTTGATTATCTGTTTGGTTTTGCGTTCCTACGATGGCTCTCTACATATTTGAATGGCAGTGTCCTTGTAGTGTTACTTTATCAATAACTTGATTCTTTCATAGCTGTGACTTTTGGATGATGCCTAACTTCTCGAAAGCAAGGTCAAATTAGAATCTCTACATGGAGTAAACCCGGTTACCTGCAATCTCGTTCACTAACTATAGATATTGATAAAATTCGATAATTAACAGGAAGAGTCGGATTCTGGATGTTCGGTTCAACCCATTCCACGGACTTCAAACATGGGTTGGTTAAAGCAAATTGAGATCGAACCAACTCTAAACCTTATTTAATAAAAAGAGATTTGGTNTGCATTTTTAATTCATGTGTATTTATTAATATATATATACACACACACATGTATATATGAATATATATACATATATATATGTATATACAAATATATATATTTATTTATATACACACACATAAATAAGNCAAGAGTCGGATTCTGGATGTTCGGTTCAACCCATTCCACGGACTTCAAACATGGGTTGGCTAAAGCAAATTGAGATCGAACCAACTCTAAACCTTATTTAATAAAAAGAGATTTGGTGAGAGATCATCTTACCTCCGTCGAAACCTAGAGGAAATATTTTTTT